AAAACACTCTAGATATATTAAGCTTGTCTGTAAAGTCACGAAAACGCGTGTTTTGGCGGCGAGTTTGCTCGGATTTTCTCTCAACCCAAAAATTTTCAAGCAAGGCGTTTGGCAAAACTCACAGCATACCGAAACGGAAAACTCGGGACATCAGGAGGCGGCCACTGTTCGCCACTGTTCGCAGCTGTAGAGAAACGCAAGTGATTGACAATCACATGTGATTACAACGGACACACGTGGACGAGTTGGGATACGTTGACAGAGAGAACACGTGTGGAGCTAGCTTCTGATAATCACAGAGAAGCAGACACACGATTGGACAGCATGCAATTGGGAGTAATCGCCCCCCCCCCGCCCCCTGCGTACTCCCTCGCGCCCCACGTAAGGGGAGATGCAAGATGCAAGTGTGGCGGGAGACTGCTGGTTCCGTGCGCGACGCGGGCCGGTACGTGGGGGATTGCGAAGCGGCTTGCGCAACGTGGACGGGCAGCGTACAACATGGTGGCGCATGTGAGAGCGCCGGGCGAATGCGCAGACGGCTTGGACTTCCCGGTGACGACGGTGGAGAGTGGGCGCCCGCTCGCCACTGAAACACCGCTGTGAATGGTTGTGCGGCGCGTGCCCCGGGACGAGGGCGGTGCTCAGTGTGGGTCTGGTGGGGAGACTGCCGCGCAGAAGCCTGCGAGGAAGGCGGGTGGTGACGGCTGTGGCGACTCGTTCCACGTTGCCGGGGAGGGGGGGGCCCGTGGTCAAAGTGGTGGGTTTATTAGGAAGGAGAGACGCAAACACCTCTTCTCTATGCTACATTGACGAGGCACACCGCGCGCTCTCTCGCGCTCACGGGTCGCCCCTCCTCCTCTGGCTGAGGGAGGATCCAAAGCCAATGGGCTTCCTCCTGCAGTTTGGGCAGATGGAGCACAAGTTGTATGCACCGGACCTTTCCATGCGGTACATGCAGATGCCACCGCACTGGCGAATGTTCCCGTACAGCATGATCTGCCGCGTGCAGTAGATGAGCTGGTGCGCGTCCTCGCCGCCGCCGCACTTGAGGCACAGCCCCGATTCCTCGTGGTAGATCTCGTCGCCGTACAGTTGCGGCATTGTCGCGGACAGTTGCGAAAGTACGCCAAGAACTGCAGGACGTTGTCGGCGCGTTGCGTGGGGGAGAAGCTCATGCGGGGGGGCGGAGGGCCGCACTGCTACAAATAGAAATAGCGCTGCGCGCGACCGTTGTGGAGGACACTTCTGTACGAGGAGCATGCGGGGCAGCGCAAACTGATCTCTCCGGTCGGCGAAATGGTTGGTAAGCCGGCTCGCCGAGCGCATGCCATTTTGATGTGCGTCCACGTGCCATAGGCCGGACGGCGCACTTGAAACGAGTCGCTGCCCATCCGGAGCAACACAGAAGGGTGCGTGAAGGTCAGACCTACGCGACTGCGGCACACGGTCCACCGCAGTGGACAGAGCGCTCTTGAAAAGGGCGCGCGCGGCGAATCAAGTGGTTTGAGGAGGGGGAAGGCGGCTTCTGCGAACTGTGAGGGGAGAAGAGGCGCTGGGAGAGGGGAAGTTGGGAGGCGTTGTGGGGCATATCGCTTATCGTTTAGCTGCAGCGCTGGAGATGCTCTAAGAGCATCTCCAGCGCTGCAGCTAAATCTATTCCAATTAGGACGCGTGTCAGTTTTCTAGCTGGTCGCTGTCTTTGGGCACCCCATGTTCTCTTGTGAGCGGAATTTGTCGGACGGGCGTCCGACTAGAAAAGGTGCAATTAATTGGTTGATTTCAGGTATTCAATGGCCTCGCTCTGGCTTTGCGGAGCCACTCACTCTGTTTTTCGCGCCCACATGTAGTTGCTAGCTGTCTTCCCGCCACCCCAGGTGTTTCTACTGTGAGATTTAATCAGAATTAATGGTCGCGCGCCCTAATCAGCTTGTGACGAGCTCGTGGCAATCATCGCTTTGGGATATATCTCGTTGCAAATCGGCCTGATTTGCCACGAGAAAAACTCCAAACGCCGATTTAGAATTCGATCTACGATGCAATTTGCGTTCTTGTGTCGCGGTGGAGACCAAACTTTACCCTGATTTGGTAAATATCATATTTGGACCGAATTTGCTGCCGCGGTGGAGATGCTCTTACACTTTGTGTTTTATCGACGATATCGTTCATTCAAGGATTGGATGCCCTCTTCCGAAACGAGCTTGTTTGTACATGTTTGTTACCATGCCATTGTGCTGTACAGCAATCAGATCCGTGGACGTGGGAGCTAGTAGCTGCCATATTGCAAACTGTGATTGGGAAGAGAGGGTTGGGAGAGTGGAAGCGCGACTGCGAACTGGAAAACGGAGGTGTGTCGAACAGATCAGTTTGCCGCCTCACTTGACCGCCTCTCAAGAATTTTCCAATGTGATTATAGAGGACGATGGACAGCGATGTTGTATGATGGTAAACCCGCTGTTTCTGCCCGGTACATGTGCTGCTGGTGTTCGCAGCGAGGGCGAGGCCAGCTGCAGAGCTATACTCTTCAAAGTGCTGAGCTATACTCTTCAAAGGGGTACACGTTTTCCTCTCCCGTGAGGGTAATTCGATCGAGTCAGCAGAAAGTAATCTAGGATGCATGGCCCCTCTTCGATTGCCCTGAAGGAGGCCGGGATTCAGCTGGAATTGTGAGCATCTCACTAATGTTCACGCTGTGTCTTAGTAGAAGCGTGCCGCATTCGCAAGTTTAAGCCCCGAGTCGGGCAGTGCGGGTGAGAAGCTTGAAGTACTGTACCTGTATCGTAGTAGGGTGTAGGGTTTAAGTTAGTGTAGCGGGGGCCTTGCGAAAGAGCTGGAAGAGAAAGACAGTGGTTACTTTCAAGCATTCTCATAATAGAGTACTACAGTGATCGCTGTGCATTCAGGCAGGTACAGTAGCAATTGTTCGGGGCAATACCGTGAAGAGACGGTGCGATTGCGAAGGCACTGTTGTTGCATTCGCAACAATAGTCATTGAATGAAGCATATGAAGAGTGTGAAGGGATGACGAGAGATTAACCCTTTTGCAGAGCAGAGAAGAAGACAACCACTAGTGATATCCACAGATCTTCAGAGCTGTGGGCAGTGCTGTGGCGATGCAGAAAGCGGCTGCAAAATTTCAGTACAGATGGTTGGTACCGCCACCAGTGATTTGGGGGGCATAGGGACATCGCCTTCAATCGGTATGCGTCTGCTGCTGTGACGAAAATCTCGACACAGTCTCATCTCTATGACATGGAGCAGCAATGCACTCGTTCCTCTCACAGATTCAAGCACCGTCGAACCACCGCCACCAAAAGGCATTCACTCATTATGCATTTAACCCAATCAAAATGTCTCCGGTTGAGCTCAAACTAAACTAAACTATTCTTGACTCCTTCGACAAGGTTTTGCCCTATAATTCTGTAACGGCACTGGAGCGCAGGTGGAAGACGTTTCATGGGTGCAAACGGCACTCGAAAAAGGCTGTGGCGTTTCTACACAACGTCTGCATGCATCAATTCCAGCCGCCATGGGCCGCATAGTGCCAGTGTAGTGTATTCCACCAGCCGGTTTACGTATACAAAAAAATCGCGACACCACAGAAAATCGCTCCCCAATAAAATGGCCACCTGTTATTCTAGCGCAAACATATGTAGGTCTGTCGCAAACAGGCTGCCTATGATAGAGGCAGGCAAATCGGACAATGCGCATTGCTTATATCTAACAACTAAACAGTAGCTCGGATCCCTGATAGGGGGGGGGCAAAGAGAAGGGCCCAGCCCGGGATCGGTAAATGGTGGTAGAGACTTGTAAAGGCGACTGCTCGACGAGTTCTGAGGGGTGTTTAGATACACCTGGTCCGATGGGTCGTAAATCCAATGATCGTAGAGTGCCTTGTACACCTTATACCCTTGATAAGCTCTTCGACGGGGACGTCGCAACGTAGCCCGTCGGGAAAGAATAAAACGTAGCAGCGCTACACCGTCGTACTGCCCGATGGCAAAGTACCAACAACGGATCGGTCGCAACCAGATTCCGATGGAACCAACACTGAGAAAAGCACCACTGCTGCACCAACAC